GTGAAGATTTTCATGCTCTTAATAAGTTGATTGAATCACAAAGTTGAAGTTCTTTTTTAGTTCCAAAATACTCTACATGTGCCTCTAAAGTTAAAATGCACTCTGCTAAGAAGTGACTTCTCACGCAATTTAACAAGTTGGACTTGATTCCGGGATTAAGTCACAGAAACTCTTCAGGTGTGTGCATGTCAAACAGGTCTCATAAGAACATGTAAGAAAGATTCTCCCATTCTTAGCAGTCAGAAATGAAATCAGATTTGCTCCTGGTTGCCAGCATCATGGTCTATATTCAGCTGGCAGCACAATGAGGTACGACCGTAAAAGTGTGCTTTGATCCGTGCTCGGTAATCTGGTTTTTCACCCACTGTGAGCCAAAAAGCAGGAGGTGTTTATACAATATTTATAATTTTTTTAAAACTTTTTAGTACTCACATTTGAAGACTGAAGTTCAAAAGTCTGCTCTTTGGGATCAATAACTGATTGTTCCTGAACATAAGTGTATGTTCGTGCGTTACCAACGAGCTGAGGACAAAAAGAGAGATACATTTTACACAAACCTTAAAAGATATTTCAGAAATGGAGCAGATAATTCAAAGATAATTCAAAAAAGTGAGTTTAGAAATCCTAATTGACCTTCTAATGACTCTAAACTTCATGTGAAGAAGTGTTACTTAATCTGTGTTTTAAGTAGAAACATGAAGGCTGCAGCTGAGTAAACACTTTGTGTTTTCACTAAATTACTACTTCCACGGATTACTTCCAAAAGAGGCTTTTTGATACCACGACACTTTAATGCGAGTTAAATTATCACATGGTGCAAATGTTAACTTCTTGTAACTCATATGCCATATTTTCCAGAGTACAAGAGGCAAAATAGACTGCAGTAAGAAAAGGCTGATTCCACTTGCTTGAGCTTCAAATTGATGATTTAGTTTGCCACAACTACAACTCTCCTAGGAGACCTTTGTCACAGGGCATCATCCATAAGATGGATCTAGTTCATACGCAGACACTGAGACAATCTGATTAAAGATTACATTAATACACTATCAATCACCGGGTCATAGTCTGTCCTTGGAATTACAGAGGCTAGTCATAGATGTAGTGAGTGAGCATTCCTCCACCCGAAGAAATCCAAGCAAAGGTCAGTGCTGAAGAACAGCACCTGATTTCCTAATATTTAAACAGTTAAACAGTGTGAAGCACATCAGCTTTCTGCAGTCTTATCATTACTGGCTTCAAAAAGTGAGAGTCAAAAGGGAAAAGTTCAATGACATGACAGATATTCAGAGGCTTCCGTCACTGCTCCGATTCAGGTGACTGCTAGTTTTAACTGGGCTGACATGCAAAGACGGAAAGTTACATCACATGGCGTAAAGGGTTACATCTGAGCAATGACAGAAATGTCACTACGGTGTCCTGTACAGCACGAGTCATGGCACGCAGCCATGAACCCGCCTGGGCAGACAGGTCAGCTGTTGCTACTATTCCTGGACAGAAATAGCCTGATAACCTGTTAGTTTATCGCTGCACTTGTTGAATGGAAAGCCTTAACCTCTCACCATTGCCACGCTTCTATCAGCTTTTTCTATCGTTTGATAAGATTGTGTGTTTGTCAGTGATGCACAGCTGAGTTTTGATACTCACAGATTTCACTATGGATGGAAGCCCCCACTCTGTGCTGAGCAGTCTTTTACTGTGGAGGCGTCCTTGTGTGTCAATTTCTCTGTCCAGAACATCCACCCCAACCACACTGGGGTTCATGGGGTTTGGGTACTTCTGCATAGCAGCTTTAATCACCATCTCCCAAGGGTGGCTGTTGAAGCAAAGCAAAATATTAATATTGTAACAAATAAAAACTGCCAAATACACATTTTTATGTCTTATACATTATATTTACACAAACTGAATACAGAGCTAAAAAAATTATTTATAAATTACCATTTTATGTTGGCTATCAACATTAAATCCAATATCAGCACTCATTTTATCTCATACCTATTAATTTATTCTCTTTCCTTTGTATAATATCTAAAACTACTCCTTTGCGTTACATTTTGGTAGCTATTCTATTTCATTTAAGCAATTTGTGTCATGTTTTTCTTCTTTTTTGGCTATATGAATATATTTTCCAACACTGCTAAAGCGAGTTTGCTAACAATACACACATTTAACAATTAAATGACTAGTGAATTAACCACTACTCAGTAACAAAAAAAATGTTTTGCTATTTGATCATTTAAAAAAAAGATTCAAACTGGTGTTTAAAATATTTAATGTGTCAAAATATTTTAATGAGTCTAAACAATTTCCCACTTTCCAATTTTTCAAAATATCCATCCAAAGTTAGTTAAGTGGATATATAATGTTTGAACAAAACATCAGTAAAGAGCGCTCATTGAGTAAAAATGTTGTTTTGAGTGGTTGCCATGCACTGGCCCGTTGCGTAGTGACGCACACGGAAATGTAGGGGAAAGGTTACGCCCCAAGGACTGGACCTGGCTGGCTGATTATGCAATGACAAAAGCATCTGTAACCAGAAACCGGCAGTTCCGCACACACCATGGCTATGTTAATACTTTGACAATCACCTATGAACTTGCGTGACTTCTTTTCAGCATTACATTGTTTTTTAAATTACACACAGACTGACAACGAATAGAATACGTCTGGTACTTCTCCTTAGCTTGTCATTTTAGCATACAAGCTAGCGACAGTAAAGTTATACCGTAGACAGGTTATATTTCACTTACATAGTCCGTTAGTTATAGTTAGGAACATCGTCTGGTTACAGTTTTGTGTTACAAACCCTACGTGTGTTGTTCAGCGGATTAAAACTAGCGTTACTTAAGTGCTGAACCACACACCGAGCACCTGCAGGCCGGACATAAAAACGCTTTGCAGGGGTAATTTACTCACTTGAATATGTGCTCTGAGGTCCAGATCTTCATGGTTTAGGTAGCTGATCGCTGGTGGTGAAAGGGGGCTAATTTAACGAGCCGGTAGACTGGCACAGAGGCACTGACAGACCGGGGTGAACCACGTTCAAAGACAACCGCATGTCTCCTCCCTTCATACCAGAGCAAGTCACGGGTGCGTGACGCACTTCCGCTACTGCGGCACATGCCGTACAAGTCCCCTGACCCTGGAATAGAAGGATAAGAAATAGTTTATATATTAGTTTATATAGTTTATAGTTTATATATTTATAGTCCATGGAGAATTCACTTAACCGATGTAACAAAAGCGTGATTATAACATATCACCTTAAGTATGCATAATAAGTTTTTTTCCCATCAGGCTTGGCAGGCTCTGTGAATATCGCCCTTGTCTGTTACACAACTCAGCTGAAGGTTAAGACCTACTCAGCTGATGCAACAGGACGGAGTCACAGGTCAAATCTTCATGTAATGGTTCAGCACTTGGTTATAAGTGTGCAGGCTCTGTAGATCCTGAGTCTTTATTACGGTCTTAATTTTCTCTGCGCAATTATGAAGTGACAGACTTGTTTTACTGAGTGAAAACAGGATTTATTTTCACTTTTCCTCCCTTTTGCTCAGTTTTCAGTTGGGTTTAGTTTAGTTTATATAGCAAAAAAAGTTACTCCCATCCCTCAAAAAACAAATCTTTATTGGCAGATCTTTAAAAAATTTTTTTTAAATATATATAGAACTGTGGGTGGTATTTCTCAGGAGCAATATTTTAGAAAATTTGCAATATTTATTTATATATATTTATATATTAATTTTACAAAGAAAACAGCAATACTCACATTTCCTTTAAAAAAATATTTTAGTTTTTTTGTGTGCAGTGTTTTTTCAGTCAAGTTTTGCTTCTTCACAAGTGTTCTTTGAAAGTGTTTTGTCATACCTAGTTCTGGCTCAGAGTAACAACCTTGGGGTAAATGGTCGTCCTTGTCAATGAGAAGATGAGCTACTGGACGAGTTTGGGAACTGCTAGTACTGTGAGTGCTGTGTCAAGTAAAAACTGGTGTCCTTATCTCTTCCAGTGCAAGACAGTTCCAAGTAATTTTTTCAAGCTGAGTGTGATATCTTGTGGTTAATTACATAATTATTCAATAAAATTACAATAAACGTTAATGCTGCTGGACAGGATTATGTGAAATAAAGTTGTTTTTTTTTAACATTTACATAGCTTTTGAGTTATTACTGAATACTCAAACTACTGAGAATGAGAAGTAATATCTCTCTTTAGTCAGTCCTTTTATTTTTTGAGTGATATTAACCCTGCTTGCTTTTTGGTAAACATGACAGCTGTTTTTCCTTCCTAGCTTTGTTGCTACATTGTAGAATTTGTCCTCTGTGGGGCAATACTGCACTTGTCACCATAACCTATGCCCCCGTGTGATTTACAGACTTCTCTTTAATCCCAGTGCAGTGTGGCTTTATTGCGGTTGAACTTGGACATCTTGGCAGCATGTGTACTTATCTCAGAGTGCAGCTAGTTTGTTCGAGTTATGAGTAATCTCTATGCCCCAGGCTCGTGAAAGTGGGAGGAAACTGTGTGACAGCCTTAGCCGGTATCAGTGTCAGTGTGCTGTCAGAGGAACGTCCATCAGTAGAGCTGAGTTTAGTCCAATTTAGCTTAAAATTGTGTCACTGAATTAAAAGTAAAAATATGGTTTTCCTTTTTCATTGTTGGAACAAAATTTCACTCTTGTTTTACTGTTTTTAATTGCTATCACAACTTATGCAAAATGCAAACGATACTGGTCAAGCAGTGTAAAGGTGACACTTCACGTTTAAAGCTGATGGATATATAGTGCTGCCAAAACATTACTTTTCATATATACATGCAAAAATAGTATTTAACAAATTTACTGTGAAATTTAAAAAAAATCTAGACCTCGAAAACGCACATTCAAGCACACAATCATTTTAAGAATACAAAGCAGACAATCACCATTATTGTTGCAAATATGTTGCAGCACCTTTTATCGCTTACACCAACAACAGACGCGACAAACTACAGAGTAAGAGTTTGTTTTAATACCAATATTCCAACATTTTTTCTATCTTCTACTCATCTTTGGCTTCTTTGCTCATTTCAGTCACTGTTTCCAAAGTAACCTCCACCTTAGACTGTGCCTTTCTTGTTGATGTTGCTGATGGTGAGGGTCCCTCCTCTTCTTCCTCTTCTGGTTCCCAATCTAGATCAGCAGTGGCATCTTGGTACTGCTGGTACTCTGAGACCAGATCATTGAGGTTGCTCTCTGCCTCCGTAAACTCCAATTCATCCATACCTTCCCCCGTATACCAGTGGAGAAACGCCTTCCGTCTGAACATCATGACGAACTGCTCGCCCACTCTTCGAAACACTTCCTGAATGGCTGTGTTGTTGCCAATGAACGTGGAAGCCATTCTGAGGCCTCTAGGTGGGATGTCACACACAGCGACCTTCACGTTATGGGGGATCCAATCCACAAAGTAGTTGCTGTTTTTCTGCTGGATGGCAAGCATTTGCTCATCCACTTCTTTGGTGGACATCCTACCACGGAAGACGCCAGCGACCGTGAGGTAGCGGCCTCTCCTCGGGTCGCACGCTGTCATCATGTTGCGGGCGTCAAACATCTGCTGGGTGAGCTCGGGTACAGTGAGAGCTCTGTACTGTTGGCTGCCACGTGGCGTCAGAGGGGCAAAGCCTGGCATGAAGAAATGAAGGCGAGGGAAGGGCACCATGTTGACGGCGAGCTTCCTCAAGTCGGCGTTGAGCTGTCCAGGGAATCTCAGAGAAGTCGTGACCCCGCTCATGGTCATGGAAACCAAGTGGTTGAGGTCCCCGTAAGTCGGCGTGGTCAGTTTTAACGTGCGGAAACAGATGTCATAGAGGGCCTCGTTGTCAATGCAGTAGGTCTCGTCAGTGTTCTCCAGAAGTTGGTGGACTGACAGCGTAGCGTTGTAGGGCTCCACCACCGTGTCAGAGACTTTAGGCGACGGCATGACACTGAAGCTGTTCATGATGCGGTCGGGGTACTCCTCGCGGATTTTGTTGATGATGAGGGTTCCCATTCCAGAACCAGTGCCACCCCCGAGTGAGTGAACCAGCTGGAATCCCTGCAGGCAGTCGCAGCTTTCACTCTCGTGCCTCACCCTGTCGATCACCTGCTCCACCAGCTCTGCGCCCTCTGTATAGTGGCCTTTTGCCCAGTTGTTCCCAGCTCCTGAGTTTCCTGTAATGCCAGAATAAATGTATGTAGGTCAAGGATGCTGATAACATGCATCACAATTTTAAAAAGAAAAGAAATTGTGACACTTTTCAGTTCTAGGGCAGTAAATGTATCAACTTTTCACAGGTTTGCAATAATTTTTTATCAGTTTTACCAGTTTTACTTTCTGAAATTCAATAAGTCAAATTCAGTTTTTTGTTGTTTTGTTTTTTTAAATGAAGCCAAGATGGAAACCTTATTATTTTCTTACTGCAAGGCTAATATTCTAAAAATAATATAACATTTACACTGTACAACTCTATTCAAGAGCTTTCTAAATCCAAAGCACAACATGTAGTGTATAATATAGTAAACTGCATATAGCCTCCTTTCTCAAAAAGTCATGAAAATCAAAAGCACAGAAATGTGAGACAGAAAGTTTCATAGTTTCAGAGTTTGCATATTATTGATTATCTCACCATGGATGAAGTTGTCTGGTCTAAAAAGGGCCCCAATGCGGCTTCCTCTTACACTGTCCATGGTGCCAGGCTCCAGGTCCACCAGTAGGGCCCTGGGGACATATTTACCACCTGCAAACACAGTTGAAGTTTTAAAAAAGACTTCATTAATTTTAATATTGTTTATTTGTAAATTTGTAAACAGCTGGAATTTATAAATAAAAATTTGAAATTTATCAAGCCAGATAAAGCAGCTCAAGTTAACAACGCACCGTGCGCCTCGTTGAAGTAGACGTTGACCCTCTCCAGTTGGATGTTGCTGTCTCCTTCGTAAATGCCTGTTGCGTTGATCCCATGTTCTTCACTTATCACTTCCCAAAACTGCCAAGAAATAAAAGCATCAGTATAACATAGG